TTTAATTATCTTCATCCTTCAGAGTCGATTGTGATCATCCTCTTCATGGCTCATATGATTATCTTCTTCGGATTTGGGTATATCAGTCAATTGTTGATGTCCTGTTCAAGACTGGATTCTCTCCAATAGCATCTCATGGTTAAGTTTGAATCTTCATGCTACCTCTTAATAAGGCGCTTTATTACTACTCGGCCTAATGGGTTTCTTATGTGTTCATTGTTATTGGTCGGACCTAGAACTATTGTATACCGTGAGAATATCAACTATGACACCTAGCAGACGCGTTGCTCTAACTGTTGAGATATCACTCATTGCTCGTAGAGTATTTGAGCTTTGCGGTTATTGATCTCAGTATTCTATTATAAATGACAAGTGTATTCAGCATGTGCATGTATTATTGTCTATGGTATTTGGGCTCCGTGCTCGCTTGATAGCATATAATGGGTCTCGGCATATCTCTTCCAAGGTGTACATTGCCAAAGAGAATGTGGATATTATCCCCAAAAACATGAATATTTCAAGTAGCTTCCATCCTCTTCTAAGCACAATAAAAGAAAATGAAAGTTGGGGGGCAGTTGGCGAGAGATTTCTGTCAAATGAGTCCACCAGCCCCACTCCCAATAAAGGAATTGACATGTATCACAAGTGGGACCTGCTACAATAAATATATGGCAGGTAATGAGTGTTTTGGCAGACTAATTCATGCCTATTTCCCTGCATTGACGGTTGGACAATAGGGTAAGTAGCTCCCTAACCTTCTCTATATATATGAGTGAAGACCCAAGAAAGAGGGACCTCAAGTAGGAGCACATTGGCTCCATACTCCACACACACTTCTATATTATTTTCCTAGTTTTATACACTAGTCTATTCATGTATTGATCACAATACTGACTTAGGCATAGGAGGGGTCTCTCCCCGCTCAACGTCAGGGATCCCTCTAACCTTTCTCTGCCTTGCAGCTCATGGATTGGGTGATACTCAAAGACTAAGGGCGCACCTCGACAACTTTCAACTATTGGCGAATTTTTACCTATGCAATAAATGTTCGTGTTAATTTTACTGTTGTCCCAAAGCATATCCATCTTTTGGCTGTCAAAGCTCAGTTGAAAATTCTTCAAATTACGTTGCCAATGAGGCATGTGCTCATTGCTCAGGCATGAAAAGAAGTTTCTCATGGCCATGACTAGCTTCTGGATAGCTCTAACTACCTGCCTTCCAAGTTCCCACTTGTTTTTCTGTATGAGCATGTTGTTCGAAATAATCTGATTCTACGTAGTCAGATATGAATAAGGATTACTGTGACACCAGTGAGATTAGTTGTATTGCTTTATTATTATTGATCTTTTGCAATTTTCCTGTACTAACTTTAGTTGCTAATTTCTCATTATACACATTGCACTACTTATTTTGGCCTATTCCTCTGAGGATGGATCTTGGGGTAGCAATAAAAATTTCCCATTGTGACTGAGGCATCAAGATTCAAGTTATGGAGATAGCCTGAAGTACATCTACCCCCCCCCCCCAAAAAAAAACCCCCGTAATAGCAAAACTCTCATGCACATGTTGTCTTATTTTAGTCTATTCCATTGATTCTACGTCTTTTTTCCATGCCACTTCTTGTTATGTCTTGCTTCTAGATATTACTTATGCTACATATCTATTTATGAACCAAAAAAGATGATAATTGTTTTGAATATTCCCTCTGGGTGCAAATTGAATACTTTGTGGAGCCTAATCATGATTGTCTTGTTGAATGTTTGCCAACATGCAAGTCACCGGAGAACCCTCCCAAGTAAGTACAGAGCAACAACACTATGAAGACAATCCTACCGCTTAGAGGTTTAACCTTTGGTTGATCCAATTAGGGATCTTAGGGCCCATAAAGTGGTTCATGAAGATTATCACCTATTGTGATTGATGAGTATAGTAATCACGCAAGAGTCCTTAAGACTCGACCAATAGCCTGTGGACCATGTGATGGCCCATAAGCCAGACGGGCCCTATGATTGGGCCATAAGTCGTGGGTATTGGCTCACTAGACTTGACAGGTTGGACTGATTAGGGAACTAAAAACAGACCTATTAGCCCGATAGAGTTCAAAACAAATGCCGAATTTGAAAAGGAAAATTTGGAGACTAGTTCTCTATATGGACCTATTTGGACTTAAGTCCGTCAAGGAAACTTATTTATTATGAAGTTCGTTTTTTGTCAATTTTACCAAATTATCTTCCCTTTAGAAGTGAAGTAAAACTAAAAATTAAAAACTTCTAAATTTTATGAGTTTGACAAAAATTAAAAGAAATTCTCTCTCTCATATATATATATATATATATATATATATATATATATATATATATAGGTTAGGACTATAATACAAAAAATAGTAACATACAATATTAATATTTTAAAAAAATTAAAAATAATAACATGTTCAACAAAAATAGTAACATGTTCAATAAAAAAATAGCAATATATAACATTGAACAAAACTAAAAATAAAAATAGTAGCATTCAAACTTATAACTAGAGGAAGAAGCCTCCAATTCTTCAGCATCCAAAAAAGTAACATTAAAAATGTAATAACATACTCAACAAAAAATAGTAACATGATCAATTAGAAAAAGTAGTAACATACTAAATAAAAAACGTAGTAACATGAAACATTGAAAAAATTTGGGGATTATTTAATAAAAAAATAAAAATAAAATTGGAGATCAAACTAATAACACATTGAATAAGTTTTTCAATCTTTTTTTTTCGAAAACCAACGGCATAGAAGTTTATGATGACCAGAACGCAATAGAAGATATGGTAATTGTTGTCGATGTTCCAAACCCTATTGATTTTGATGCTATGGAGGAAGAAATAATAAGTAAGGAGAAAGATTTGTTGTACTTGAGTGATGATCTTTTTCTAATGTGAGAGAGAGAGGGAATATAAATTTGAATTTCAATTTATGAGTGAATTAAGAGATAATAATTTCTAATTTAAAGCTATTTTCAAGATCTTTAAGGTTTCTATAATTAAACAGAATAACATTGTTAAAGGTATTTTTAGAATTTAAAAAAATGATGGACTTAAGTACTTATTAATAAGATAAAAAATAGATTTATTATCAAATAAGTTTCTTTGACATACTCAAGTTATTATAAGCCCATTCAAAAGGACTCAGTCCCAATTTTCACATTTGAAAAATAGAATCAGAAAAGTTGAAATAAAACGACACACCGACTACGACTGTATTTTTCTAGGGTGTATCTGTCCGGGCCAATGATCTGTGATTGACCCATCTCGTAGCTCACCTTTGTGTGTTGACCAGCGGGTCAATGTATTCTGGGACCATTGCCCACACTTAAGAGTATGATTGATAATTGAGTCAAAGTTGAACAATTTTTAAGCTTGTTTAGAAAAATGAGCCTAAAAGGTTCGACTTTAGCTCGCAAAACTCAGCTCGTTTATATGTAAAATAGTTGAACTACTTGAGCTCGGCAAAATAAGGCGAGCCTGAACAATTTTTTAGGCTCATTTAGAAAAATGAGTTCGATAAACTCAACTCGAACTCATAAAACTTGACACGATTATCAACCCAATATAAGAGCCCCCAATCCCCACACACATGCATGCACACAAAATCGACCCACCCTATGGATGTTGAGGCTATTTTTCCTTTGTCAGGTATCCTCCAATTAAATGTGAAACGTACAAGCTACAGCGATACAACGAGACTCATGTTGATCTGAACTCTTATAAATAAAACCAAACTTAAACTGGCAGTGGCAGGGGACTTTTACCTGAAACGCTTGCCACTGACTCTGTACTATGGAGTTTGTTGTCTATACTACCAAGGTGTGTATATAAGTGTACCAATGCATTAAGTGTGAGTATCATGCTAGAATAAGGTAGTACATGCTTTGTGGGCCTATCGAATCTAAAGTCGCAATTAGGTTGGGTTAGTTTCCACGTTGTGATTAAATTTGCGAGTCAAGGTTAGGGATGTTGTAATCACCACCAGACTCTTTGTATACTAAATCTGTAAGTTTATCAGATGTTAAGGAGAATATTTACATTTTAACTTTTATTATTATTACTAGCCATTTTCAATAGTGCCTGATAGCATTTGATGTGTTATTCTCTGTTCCACCTATTTAACATCTTACATTATTAACAGACTAGGGGTAACTCATGTCTAAAAATACGGTGTAATATGAATGGTTTTAAGAGGGATATTAGTAGTCGTTTGATGAATCTATTTAAAATCGTTGAATAGGCTTATTGAAACATGTCCTATTTTATATTATAAATATTCTAATCACGTACTCTTTGGACTAATTAAAACATAAATCTTAATCTTCGATACATACAATCACCCATGACCAAACGCATTCATTAAACCCAAATTTTATATTAGTAGGGTAGCTCAAATTCAGGATGTGCAGATTTATATCTTGCCAAAATCTTTATTGGACCACGGAACCAAACCGGGTAAGCTTTTGAGGAATTTTTTTTTTCAATCAGACTTTGTTTGATCAAACAACGTTAAAACATTTTCAACCTGAAAATTAACTTGCTTAAAGTCCACCTCTTGGCATAAGGGAGCAATTCATGTTTTTGCCACACCAACAGTCGCATGTAGAGAGTTCATTAGAGGATAATATAATGATGATTAATTAAAAAGACTCCCATACCAAAATTACACACTCAGATAATTTTGCATCCATTACCAAAATGCCGAAATCCTTGAACATGTGGCGAAAACACGAAAGGACACTTGCAAATTCAGACAATTCGAGTCCTTCCACATACACTGCTCTTGTGATTATTGAACAATAATCTGGACTTCACATATCGAGACTCATTAAGATCAAGATTTATTTTGAAATTACAACTCACAAAAGCCAGCCAAAACTTAAATAACATACAACGAAGACACACCATAACAGCAACAGGCTTTAACATGAAGTACAGATGTTATAAGCTGTAGTTGGTAGTGACACAATTCAACCGTATGTCCAGTAAGTAGGAGTGTATATACAGCGTTCAGCATACTTCACGAGATTCTCAGGTCGAGGGAGACGTGTCGCCACACCTGCAAAGCAGTTATGTAATGTGGCAGAACATAAAGTCATTCTCGGCAAGTAGGTTGGAACAAAAATAGGGAAAAGAAAATGTACTCACCAAGTTCATATGCTTTAGCAGCTACCTTAGCAGCAATGTGAGCAGATATCTTTCTGATATTAGTGAATGAAGGGTAAATCATCCCCCTAGCTAAATGCTCCTCCGTTACTTGACCAGCCAAAGCTTCCGCTGTTTCAATGGAGACATCTAGGAAATTAATATCGAGAGAATTCTGTTGTTTGCTTTACTGCAATGACAATTTAACATTGTGTTGCCTTTAAGTCACTGTAATCTGAAATACGTATCGTAACATTTTCATTTTTTACCACACAAGAGTTTACATGTCTAGAGAATAGGAAAAGATAGCAAGTATTCTGTTTTTGTCATTCACTTGAATCGGAGAGGAACGGGTTCTGTTGTTCACCGTGTGCAGGCTGGTGGGAGCAGGGGGAGGGATCAAAGTTTGTGGACAATATCAATATGCAATATTAAATTCAACACTGTTCTTTATTATATACTTACTCGCTGCAAGAAGAATTTCATCATGGACACCAATCGCACCAGAAATGACCAAGCCAAAGCCAAACCCGGGGAAAATGTAGGCATGTTCGCCTACGTTAAGATAGAAACTTTTTTCTCAATTTTTTATGTCCACGCTGAAGATGTTGTCGCACAAACACATCAAACAATGCATGTCTCAAGGAGATTAACGAAAAAGCATACCTCGAGAATCTTCCCCCATGCAAATGTCAGGTGGTCTCTCTATTAACTTGGGGAAGGGCTACGGTACCAAGGAGATATTGTACCAAAATTTACAATTTTTAATCTTTAAGTTATATATTTTTTTTTTTTGTAAGTTATAATTTTTAAAGGTCATGATCAATCAAAATAAATTGGGATTGATACCAAAGTTACAATTATTAAAATTTATGTTACAACTTTTAAAGGTCAAGTTATAATTTTGAAAGAGAGAAGTACCAATTATTCAAGGGGAGCTCATGATCGATCATGTGTATATGTGATTGATCATGGTCTCTCTTGAGCAGTTGTAACTTCTCTCTTTTAAAGTCATAATTTTATCATAAAAAATAATAATTGGCAGCACAGTACTGAACTTTTTTTGTTTGGCACCATAGACTTTCCCATTAATTTGAACCTACTTTTAAAATGTAAATGTAGTAATTTAGAGCTCAAACAAAAAATCATATTTTTCTTTCAAACTGATGTAGATAACCTGAGGGCGCCTAAAAATGCTTCCATATTTCTGGCAAGCAACACCAACAGTCGGAGTGTAGACAACCGGTAGGAGTTCTTCAACATTATCAATAAAAAGCTTATATTCCTCTCCTGTAAATCATTTTAAACACAGACTCCTTGAGGTTTGTTTGCACGTAATATAATTATATACTAATTACGATTTTTTAAGAAAAAATTAAATTTTTATTTGTGATTGATACAATAGAACATGAATTTTAATTGTAAAATTTAAAATATTTGATATTTTATCTTTGATTGTAGCATTTTTTATGTAAGTATAATATTTTAAATTTAAAGGGTCTAAATAATATATATTTACAAACTTAAAGAAGTCTGTGTGTAATTTATTAACGGATATATTTATAGCAGGGTCAAAGTGTTATGTCCGTACAAATTTTAAGAAGTCTGTGTGAAATATTTCAAATGTCTTTGGATTTAAGTAATTAAGTGACAAACCTCAAGAAGTCTGACTATAATTTTACCTTTTTTTTAATCTAAATTGGAGACGCATACAACAATAAAAACACTACATAATTTTGTATATAAGAATCATGTTAATTTTAATAGAATACAATTTACACATGATCTGTTATCAATAATAATTGGTATTAGTGTGTAAGTAGATTATTACAAGTTATTTTACGAATTGAGATTTTCTTCATTGTACTTAGATTAATAGCTAGCAAGTCACATGTTATAAATTCAAGCGAACTCATTATTTTTAAGTAAGTCCATCACACATATTCACATAATTGATAAACCATCCATGGTTAAGTGACATTCAATGAAAGTGTTAGAGAAATTGCTTAGAGGATTAGATAGATATTGTAATTAATTGTACCACTTTTTTTTTAACAGTCGCATTCATCGTCTAATGCTCCGTTTGGTAAGAATGATGAAAAGTAGAAAGAATGAAAAGTAGAAATGATATATTTTTTTATCCTTCAAAGAAGGAAAGTAGGAATAATATATTTTTCTTCCTTTGTGTTTGGTAGAAAAGATGAAAAATAAAAGTGATTAATTTTTTTTTGTGTTTCGTAAGATGGAAAAAAATATTTATTTTAATTTTTAAAATTTTTCTAATTTTTTTTTAAAAAAATATAAATACATATTTTATCATTGTATTGATATATGAAATTAATATATACATAATATATGTATATGTCAAAGGATATATAGACAAATAAGATATGTTTCAATATAAATAATTAACTTTTCATCAACTTTCATTCCAATTTTGGGATGTAGACAACAATACATAATTTTGTATACAAGAATCATGTTAATTTTAATAGAATACAATTTACACATGATGTTATCAATAATAATTGGTATTAATGCCCAATTAGATTGTTACAAATTATTTTACAGATTGAGATTCTCTTCATTGTATTAGATTAATAGCTAGCAGGTCACATGTTATAAATTCAAGCGAACTCATTATTTTTAAGTAGGTCCATCACACATATTCACATACTTGATAAACGATCTATGGTTAAGTGACATTGAATGAAAGTGTCATAAAAATTACTTAGAGGATTAGATAGATATTGTAATTTACCACTTTTTTTTTAACAGTCACATTTATCCTCTAATACTCCGTTTGATAAGAATGATGGAAAATAGGAGGGATGAAAAGTAGAAATGATACATTTTTTATCCTTCAAGGAAAGAAAGTAAGAATGATACACTCTCTTTCCTTTGTGTTTTGTAGAATGGATAGAAAATAAAAATTATTAATTTTTTTTTGTGCTTCGTAAGACGGAAAAAATATTTATTTTAATTTTTAAAATTTTTCTAAATTTTTTTTAAAAAAAGTATAAATACATATTTTATTATTGTATTTATGTATAAAATTAATGTATACATAATATATGTATATGTCAAAGAATATATGTATATGTCAAAGGATATATAGACAATTAAGATATATTTTAACACAATAAATTAACTTTTCATCCATTTTCCTTCTAATTTTAGAGGGATTGATTTTGGTGAGTTGGAAGGAAAGCTCATCTATCTATTTTTTTCATCTTTCATATTTTCCTTCCTTACCAAACATGATGTTTTTTTTATCCCTCTAACTTTTTATCCTTCTATTTTTCCATCGTACCAAATGGAGTATAAGAAATTTGGTTTTAGGCTCCGTAGCTCACCCTGTAGCAAGAACAACATCAAACCCTTATGGGTGGTTCAATTGTTGAGCTTAGTCGATCTCAAGTTTAATCCTTTCCCACACTCCCTAAGAATTAACCACCCTTATCCCTTTATGTTGTAACTCAACTCAAGCCACAGTAACTAATTGAAAAATTCAAGTCGGCGCAAGTCTAAATACCTGTAACCAAAAATAAAAAAAAATAGAAAGACCAACATCATTTCCATCTTCAACCTTTGACACATCCAATTTTTAAAAAAAAAAAATCGTTGATACAGGCAATGGAAAAATTAAATAGAGATAATTATTAATATAATAACAATACATAACAATCACTTGGATTAAAAAGACAAGTTTATCGTAATTTTAAAAGAGGACTTGGAAGATCGACTATCGACTATACCATCCCTAGTAATAATTGGTGGATCTTTATATCTACCACTATAATTGTCGTAAGCACTAGAAAACTGTTGGACCAAAACAATTTGTAAGTGTAAAAATTAATTTTTTAGTTGATTTTGAGTCAAAATTAAAGTGGGATTTGTTTACTTTTTCTAGTAAATTTTTGTGGGTTCGTATTCTACTCCGTAAAAAAAATAATGTTGTATATTCACTTGCTCAAATCGAGTAAGAAATAAATAAGAAAATAGACTCTAAAGTGACGATCTTGAAATGTGAAAATAGAAGATGTACAATGTGGGATTTAACATCAATCCCACATTGATTGAGGAAGAAGTTTTATATGAACATATATAGGTCAAATTTGCTCTATAAGATTGGCTCCCAAGGGGTACCACAATTTTAAGAGCAAAACAATTTCCTACATGCTTGTTATCTTTTTGAAGAAAATTCGTTTAATAAATTGAGCGTGAATTTCTTAATCCGAAATTTAATTTTGGTACCCATTAAATATGAATTCGTACTGGTTCAAATTGTAACTTCATTCCAGTCCGAAATCTAAGTTGTGTCTGTTCATAGAGAATAGTTATACAAATGATGTCTTATGGGTTGTGTCTTTTTATATAGTGGTTATCCAGAATAGTCACCAGACTGTCGATAAATATTCAAGCTCTCATTATTATTCTACATCAATTAATTAGTTCATTTTCAGAGTTAAGGCAGTCATTAGTGCATTACATTTCGACATTAAGACAGTCTGCATTTGGAGAGTACACAATATAATTTCTAATTCGCTGAACGAGTAGATTTGAGTGTTACTTCTACTTATGTGACGATCATTGTATCATATAAGTTAGACGCTTTGTAGTCCATAAACACCATGTGTGGGGGCAAAATTTGTCTTAAGAATATAGTTTCAAACACTAATCTTGATCTACTTAAAGCTCAATAACAATTTCTATTATGTAAACGCGTTAGGTGTAACTATTTCGTTAAGACTACTGTAACTGTTTCATTAATTCTTTTGTAATTGTTTCAGTTTTTTGTGTTACTGTTACGCACTTGACTGTTATTGTTTTATTCTAAATTACACAATACAAATCAGAAATATCAATAAGTGATTTTACTGTATTTGAAATACCACAATCAACAAAAACTACTTTTAGATCAAAATTCTACAGTTAATTAGTAGAAAACTTCTTTTGTTTTGAATTTATTTATTTTAATAAATAAACTTTGTTTTCGATGATATTTTAAGTGAATTTATTTATTTTAATAAAACTTTGATTTTTATTATATATAACATGAATTTATTTGTATTATAGACTTTGTTTCCTCTGATTTTTTGTTTTGAATTTATCTGTTTTAATAAGTCTTAGATTTTTAAAAATATTTTAAATAAATTTATTTGTATTAATAAAACTTTGATTTTCATTATCATTTGTTTTACTTGTTTTGAATTTGTCTGTTTTATCTGTTTTGAAATATCAATTTGGACAGTGAAATAGTGGTAAAATCAATGGACCAAAACCACATTTTTTTTGTCTCCTATCCCATTAACTCATATCTTCTCCTCCTCTTTCTCACACACAAACTCACCATCACGCACACATTGATAGACTCAAACGGTCAAACAAAAACCTATGGAAACCAAAACATGTTGTACCAAAGTCATTGAATTTTGTTTTTTATAATAAACCAACACAGTGGTGTCTACATTTAATCATTAGCATAACATTTCAAAATAAAAAGAGAGATATATAATAGACACAAAAGTAGCTTAAACATGGACCACAATATATTACTAATGACGACATTTATCTAAATGGCATGAACTTGATAGATTGTCGAGTGGTGGGCATCTGAGCAAAATTTCTAAGACTAAAATTTATGCAACACTGTTTCGTTAGATGGAGTAATTTGTTTAATGAGTAAGGGTGTTGAAGAAAGAGATGGGGCGACTGGGAATTGTGGGTGAGAGGTGCTGGTCTGTGTGGGATTTATTGCCATCGTCTTCCATTGCGAACTTAAGCGATGAACCAATTATCTGTTACGAATTAGTTTCGGCGTGGATGGTCTTGACTAGATAAGAGGGGAGATTAGTCAAGATACGCATAAATTAACTAGAAAACTCTGATCATTCGTCAAATCTAATGAAAATTATGATGGTTATATATCTCTAATTTGGACCTAGTTGAATTCGATGTATTTTTTTGTAGGTAACAATAGAAAAGAGAGAAAAAAAAAAGAGTGAGAAGAGATCAAGTTTCTGAAAAGAAAGAAATTAGCATGATATAAGTTAAAGGGTATTTTGGTAATTAAAAAAGGATTATTTAGATTGGACTACAGGGGGAAAAAAACAAACAAAAAAGTACATCACAAGTCTTTAACTTAATGACTTAAAAGAGTATTTGATTGAACTTTTTAAACATGATAAACCTATATATCAATTCACATTTAGCATTTTTTTTAATTCTTCTTATTTTTTAACCATAGTAAAAAAGTGAGTTTTGCACAAGGGTGCCCCTAGTTATCT